TCCGATGTTGTCCGTTACCACTACTTTCAATGGTCTTGATATATAGGGCGACTTCAAATAAATATAAGCTGTCCAAAATCGCATCATAAAACCTTCTCTGTCTAAACAGTAAACCATTTCTCCGCTATAATCTGATTTTTCAAAAAAAATTTCACGTACCAAAGTGATATTTGATTTTCTATTTAATTGCATTTGTGCTGGTTTCTTGTTTATCAAACATTTAGTTGACTTTTCCCAATATTTCTGACTTGTTGCTCTGTGGAATTGATCATAATCTATATATTTATTGTCCTCTAATAATGAAAATTCTTTATTCATGGCTTGTTTATCTATTAGTATTTCACAGTCTGCCTGTTTCATACTTTGCGTTTCCAATCCATTTTTTCCTTGATTGTGACTCTTGGCTGAATCAGATTTAGATTTCATTTTTGGAAAAGTTGGTGGTTGCTGATTAATTTCCATTGTTTCTGAGTTTGACTTTTTCTCCGTTTCAGTGGCTGCTGTCTTTTTCGTTTCAACTTTCTTGCTTGTATTACTACTCTTGCTGGATTCTAATTCTGCAATCACGATTTCGTTCTTAATTTTTTTAGTTCCTGGACATTTCAATTGGCTTTTTCCTATAAACATGATATGTGGAGCTGTAACTTTTCCTTGATTCTTTCTCCAGTAGCACAGTGCAGAATCTAGAGTAGGAATACCTTCTGAATCCATTCCTTCTGAATTAGTTTTTGCAAACAAGGATCTTTTCTTGTCTTTTAACATCTGTTTCCCAACACAGTGTTTTACCATATGTCCGAATGCTGAACAGAAATAACATTTTTTAAGGTTGTTTTTTTGTTTATTTCGCCATTTTTTATTGACCAAGTCTTCAATATAACTTGAATATTTAGGATCTCTGTCGCAGATAGTTGAAGAACTGTGCTGGTACTTACAAAAAATGCACATCTTGATCTTCTGGTTGCTTATTGATGTATCTTTTATTGTTGTCGCTGAAGATACTTGCGACAAAGTGTTCTTACTTTTTACCAACCTTTTAGATGCCATTCTGATAAACGCACAATTGACGCAAACAATGTCACCGTAGTAAGAAAACTGATCGTAACTGTAAATAAAATTAGTTCATAGTCCGCTAGTTTCCGCGAAACAATAATAGTCACAAACCTGATTTAATTCACAAACAAGATTTAAAATATTTACGATGTGTAACTTCGGTAAACATGAAACTTCCTAAATCCGCAAAACTTAGTGATCCGGTATGTGGCAGGGCGTAGATGACACACCGGTTTTCATTGGTCGGCAGCTGACCTGTCGGCGCTTGCTGTGTTAATTATAGGCTCTGCTCGGGTGAAGACGATGTACACTGTTTTCCGCATGTTTATCTTACCTTGGAAGAAAAATTGTTTTCATATGATTGAGGTCTGCGTGGTTTCGAATTTCCTTCGGACAAGCTCCCACTTGAAATGAACCCAAACGTAAACTTGACGTTACGCTTTCAACTATCTTGAAATGTACTTTGGCTTACACCGACTTCAACGTCTAGGGTTGAAAACACAAACGCCACTCGGCTCCTTTGTACATTCTGTCAGTTTATTCTGGTCCATTTATTTCACATGTTCAAACATTATTCACACTTTATCACTCGCGACATATTCGAACATTAACCATTCTCGCGACATAAAGACGACATCTTCAATTACTACAACCGTCTTCCCTGACTTCTAATGATCGACTGACCACGAGGCTAGCTCGGGCTTCGCCTCGCTTACTCTACTGGCCACAAGTATCTCGTGCCATCACTTGTAGCACGGACTTCCTGCTTGCCACAATGTACTCGTGGAGACCATGCAAAGCAGGGTCATCACACTTACACTAACACAGTTATGTGACATGGGAGTAAAGCATGGTGAAGCACGTCTATGCCGTCTTCAAGGCCGAGATAGGAGACAATATAACCAGTTTCTCATGGGAACAATTAGTAGAAGTACTTTGGAGCGGCTGCTGCATCTTAGGTCTGAACATGCATGGGAATGCCCAATTTTCAGTGACGTCGATTGTGATAAATAACATAACATAATATCTAATCGTTATGCCACCTTGAGACCATCAGCTTTTTATTTCTGTGCCTAGCATTGCTCTACCAGCAAGCCAGTCTTCTTGTTCATTCCCCCCTACTCCAGAATCTGCTGGCACTTCTCTTCTAATTCTGACATTTTCATGACTCATCATCATCATCATCATATGATGTGCCATTAGTACGTCACATAGGGCTTGCAGTCTGTTTCTCCATTCCATTCTGTCGCCTACAGTCTTTTGGATATCATGGAAGAGATCTGACCCAGCACCTTTGGCTTTTTCTGTCAGTGTTCATTTTAGGGTTTCTCTTTGCAGTCCTGTTTACTCAGTATATTTGTTTCCCATTCTATTGCTTATTGGGTGATTCTCTGCTTGCCCCTGTGTCCAGCCTACTGCTGTCTTCTTTGTCATATAACTGTTGATAGGGCATTTCTGTTATATCTTTGCCTTTCTTAGAATTCATCCCATTAAATTTTCTTTAGTTTTTTTCAGGCATTTTGTTTTCAAATGCATTAAACTTTCCTTCCTTGTCTTTAGTCATCATCATCATGTAGCAGGTCCTTTGCAGAACGTCACTGTCATCACGGTCTGCCTGAAAGAAACTCGGTCTCTCGCCAGCTCTCGCGCCTCATGTACGTTCATACTCAAGGAGTCACTTATATCCTGTGTCCATCTTCGTGTCGGTCAGCCCCTGCCCCTCCTTCCTGGTACCATGCCTTCTGCTATAATTTTTTCCAATCTGTCGTGGCGCTTGATATGACCAAACTATTTCAGCTTCCGAGACAGGATGCTGTTTATTAGCCAATCTTCCTTGATGTTCAGATCTTTCAAAATGTCAGTATTTCTCCTCTCCTTTGTTTAACGTATTCTGATAATCTTTCTATAGCATTTCAGCTCAAAAGCCCCTATTCTCTTCCTTAAGAAAATGATTTTCAAAATTTCACTAGCATTGAAAAAACAGTAGACTTGTGCTTGCATGTGTTCTAGGATCCGATTGGGGGTAGACCCCACCCCTACCCGCCCCTAGCAAGCATGCCCTAATTAAGGGTATGCTGAAATTAGATGTTAAAAGATTAAAGGTTCAAGACGGCAGGATCCACTTCGTTGCAATAGGTTTTATCCCGTTTGGCTCGGTCTCTCTCTGCAGAATGGCTAGCCACCTGCTATGAGCATGAACTCCATAGCTGCGGTGACAATCCCCAGGGATCTCTTCAAAAATTGCATTTGTAAACTGAAGGGGGCAGCAATGGAATGAACCCACAACTTCCAGAGTGTGAGGCAAACAGCTTGACCACTTCACCACAGAGACCCCTGAAATTAGATGTGTTGGACTGAAAGGTGTAGATATTGCAACTTAGCTGTAAACCACAGCACCACATACCAGCCAGCCTTTGAAGGGTGAACACACAAGAAGAAAAAAAATGTATGTTCAGTAGGAAAATATAAAGTTTCTTGAACAGAAATGTCTTCTTTGTTCACCGGCTGTAAGTTCTGGTGGAAAGTCCTGGTTGTTCATCCATTCGGAATTTGGCTTTTTGCCAGGGCCTGAGTTTTGGGTGCACATCCATTTTCCTGGCTTATTTGTGTACAGTTGGTTGTTCCCTGCCGCTCAGGCAGATGCATGCCGACTTCGAAGGAAGCTCCCAATTAGTTGACTCTTACACCATGCTTGTTGGGGAGGCAGTGAGTCTATTCTTGTTTTATTCACAGTGTGGTCTCAGAACCCATACGGGAAGAACAGAAACAATAGATAGATAGGAAAGTTCTTGAGCAGTACCATTGTCTTCTTTTGCTTCTTCACTTTCACCAGCTGTGAACTCTTGCAGAAAGTTCTGGTTGTTCATCCAGTCCTGGACTTTGGTCTCGATCCAGAACTTGAGTTTTGCCTGCACATCTATTTGACAGATTTTGCTTATTTGTGTGCAGACTATTAGTTCTTTGCCTCTCAAACAGATGCTCTCTGACTTCAAAGAAAACACCCCTGGTTAGTCTCTTTTTACAACATGCTTCTTGTGGGGGAGGGGAGTATGGGAGCAGTGGGTCTCCCACTCCCCTAGGATAGGGGGGAGGGGAAGGCTGGAACTTGCACTGGGTTGCTATTTATGTTGAATTTATCATACATCTTCAGTATGAATCTCTACTGAATCTGTCTTGTGTCTTCAGCAGCTCTGTCATTTACTCTGTTGTCCACACTGAATCTGTCTTGTGTCTTCAGCAGCTCTGTCATTTACTCTGTTGTCCACACTGAATCTGTCTTGTGTCTTCAGCAGCTCTGTCATTTACTCTGTTGTCCACACTGAATCTGTCTTGTGTCTTCAGCAGCTCTGTCATTTACTCTGTTGTCCACACTGAATCTGTCTTGTGTCTTCAGCAGCTCTGTTATTTACTCTGTTGTCCACACTAAATCTGTCTTATATCTTCAGCAGCTCTGTCATTTACTCTGTTGTCCACACTGAATCTGTCTTATGTCTTCAGCAGCTCTGTTATTTACTCTGTTGTCCACACTAAATCTGTCTTATGTCTTCAGCAGCTCTGTCATTTACTCTGTTGTCCACACTGAATCTGTCTTATGTCTTCAGCAGCTCTGTTATTTACTCTGTTGTCCACACTAAATCTGTCTTATGTCTTCAGCAGCTCTGTCATTTACTCTGTTGTCCACACTGAATCTGTCTTATGTCTTCAGCAGCTTTGTTATTTACTCTGTTGTTCCCACTGAATCTGTCTTGTGTCTTCAGCAGCTCTGTCATTTACTCTGTTGTCCCCACTGAATCCTTCTTCATCTGTATTTAGTATCCTGATTGATACTTTCATTGTTCCTGAATTTACTCTAGAACTTGAGTTCTAAAGATCTTCTGTCTTCAGCATCAGGGTATGCTAATCTGTTATTTATCTCTGCTGACCTGGTATTCTTATTTATCTACTTGTAGCCCAGTTTGAAGCCATGACAGATGAACTGGAACGTAGGAGGGAGGAGTGCCTGCAGCTGAAAGCCATGCTTGCAGACAGAACCATCACCACACACTCCATTGCCAAAGAGTCCTATGGAGGCATGGACAGCCTAGTCAATGAGGACAATGAGTTGGAGCTGGCTTACAAGACACAGAAGGACCTCAACAGGTCAGAACTCTTGTGTGTTGTACTGGTTGTGCCTGTTGATGCTGTCATAATTTGTGTTATTGTTTTGTTGTTGTTGTTGTGTACTTGTTTTTGTAGCTATTGTTGTGGTTGCTGTTGTTGTTATTTTTGTGGTTATTATCACAAGACAGTTATGTCATGTGTCTAGATTAGGATCACCCTAATTATACAAGATACTCTGAAGTGGTAAAATGTTGTGATGGTGGCTCATATTGGTTTAGGCGGCAAAACCAACAGCTCCAAAAAACCATGCAACACCATGCCAGGGATGAGGTAACTCAATTTATTGGCATCACAGATATTCCAGGGCACAACTTGGCTAGATTTTATCACGACTTTTACAGGCCCCATACTGGATAGGATCACTATTACAGTCAGAACACGGTACACAAGAAATCTTATTGAATCAAACTACACACAAAGAACTAATTTAAATGAATCATGAAATTCAAGACACAAAGTTACTTTCAGGATAACAATACATTATGTAATAAGTTCATAACAGTATAGGAGATCTCATTGGACTGACAAAGAAGAATTATATACAGAAAAGACACAAATAATGTCTCAAATAGCCAAGTATGACTCCTAGACTGCCATAGGTCACTAGTCACAGTAGTGGTGATGTAATAGGTAAGGGTATGTTTGCGGGCACAGATGGTTGTACCCTCAGTTTCTCAAAAGGTATATTCATTTGGAAGTTGAGAACAATATTTGACAGGCCCCTCTTCTCACTCAATATGTAGACTTCTGCTTCACAGTTGAAACTGGCACCACAGCATTAACATAACAGTTCATGGGGTTAGATGCCTTCAAAATATCTGGGGATCTTTCACTCACAATGTCAGTATAGACACACCTAAGTGTATCCAGAATAGGTGTTGAAGAGATGTATTATAATGTCAGTAGGTATGACACTGTGTAGTCAGCAGCTGGTGGCTGTCTGTAGTGGCCAACCCTTGGTTTGGAAGCATCTGATAGTGATAAAGTAGCATCAGCTGTCTTCTAGTTGGTGTGACACATCATGTCACCTGCCAAGGTGTTGATGAGGTCACTGAAACAAAGTAAAATGAGGTACCTGGTTGCTGGTAGGTTGTTGGGTGATGGCACTACTCATTTGAATCAGTTTGACTATGAAGTAGCTCCCAGATAAGCCAGTACTAAGGTTTTTATTTCTCTCACATCCTGAGGACACAATGGAAACATGAGTTAGACAACCAGTAAACACCATACCCAGTTTATCCTTCTCCCACACTACACATCACTCAGTTTATCCTTCTCCCACACTACACATCACTCAGTTTATCCTTCTCCCACACTACACATCACTCAGTTTATCCTTCTCCCACACTACACATCACTCAGTTTATCCTTCTCCCACACTACACATCACTCAGTTTATCCTTCTCCCACACTACACATCACTCAGTTTATCCTTCTCCCACACTACACATCACTCAGTTTCAGTTTCAGATGACAGTGATTTACAGGCATTATTTACAGCTGTCCCCTAGCAATCAAGAATACACAATAATCACTTTGCTATGCCAAATTCTCTCAAAGAGAGCAGCACAAAACTGCACCTGCCAACTATGAGAATAATATTGACTGACTGACAAGGGTGAACACAATCGTTCCTCTCCGAAACCCTTCAAATCTGGGCTTGCCATGTTTACATCTTTCAGCTGTCAAACTGGAATTACTCACATACCTGGCAACTTAACCCTTTCGCTGCTGCGCCCTCCGCCAGCCAACGTAACCACTGTGCTAAGCCAGGCGAGAGCTAATCTTTGCCCCTGTGCTGAATACCGTTTTTTCCTTCAAAAGCAGAAGACGCGCTTACGGCACGGGGTAAAAATTGTACACCTAAAATAAAAAATCGTTGAAGGCGTGTGGTTGAACTTTGCGCTGACAAGTCAGACGCGCTATTACTACGCTGTGAAAACTCATTAACAAAAAGAAAACACTACAAACTTACAAAGCAAACACAAAACACTTTAGTAAGCAAATACATGGTTTTTATTATTATTATTATTATCTTTGTGTGTGAAATATTTCAAAACAAGGTGCGACACACAATGCCAAATCACATTCCTTGCACATGTATCTGGGTTTCCGTCGTTTTTTTGCTTTTTTTGCGCATACCACACACTTTCTGGTTGGGAATTTTTTCTGCGATGTTACGGACTCTATTATTGAAGGGGAATGCCTTTGTACTAAACGAAGTGGCAGATCTTCACTTTTTTGTCCTCCTACACTTTTTCTCTTTTCCTTGCAATATTTATATAGAATTTCTCTTACTAACATTAAGTGAAATTCGGCAACAGGTGTGTTTTTCCCCACAACAACTTTATATAATGAATGTGCACAGTACACCAACCACGCTTCACATAACGTGTAAAGCATCTAAATCCACCTGAACGCACGTGACAGTATGTTCAATTAATTATTTCTTTGGTTATCTGTTGCCGAAAATGCTAACAGCTTAAATTTAAAATTTGCATTTAAAATAATTAATTTAAAAAAAAAAAAAAAAAAACGGCACGTAGGGGTGAACGCTGGACCTTTAGATTGTAAGGCAGACGTGATACCAACTACACTAGAAATTCACATGAAACTATGAACTGAAAAAAAGACCAGTATTGTACACTTTAATAGACAAACACATTTATGTCAGTTGTATAGTATATAATTAATATTAATCATCACGTCAGTACGTGACTATATCTTTTTTTTTTTTTTTGGATTATGTTGGATCCGTTTCAAATCCAGTCGATGTAGATAGCTAGGTCATATGGTCACTGTTCAGTCTTGTTCACAGCCAGAAGTACACGTGTCCGCCGGCGTGCCGCGAAGATAACCCAGCTCATATAACTCACACGTTTCAAAGTGATCCTTACTACTACTCCTTGAAAGAAACTCAATTAATTCTTCTTTATTTAAACAAATGTTCTTGTTATTTTGTATTTTAAAAAAAAAAATTAGACTAACGCAAAACCAGAAATATATTTCAGGGCAAAAAAATTACCGAACACCAACAATGCTTCTATGGTAACAAAGAAACAGGATAACGTGAAATGCATCTAAATACGCCTAAACTCACTCGATAAGGGTTTTAATTGTATGTAAACGGATCAGTTTGATCAGATTAAGTTAATGTGTATTGCTATTTCACCCCTAAGAATTACTGTCCTTAGCAATCTGTAAAAAAATGTCCAGAACGAGATATCTCGTCCTTAGCAGTGAGGGCACAGAAAATTGCAGCCAAGTTATCTCATCTTTAGCAGTCTGCCGGGCAGACGAGTTATCTCGTCCATAGCAGCGAAAGGGTTAAAAAGCAGCGTCGGGATTATCCGCGAAACAAACGAAGATTTCTCGGTCCCTATCAGGCCGGAATAACCGCTGCTATATCTATATCTTCACACATCAGTTATGCATGGTTTGTCCAAGGCTCACTCATCTAAATGAGTAGTGTAGGTATATTAATCAATATAAGGGAACATCCTCTACCAGAATCAGTGTGTGCCTTACTACTGAAATTGGGCCTCCAATTAGAGTCTAATGTTGGCATGACACAGAAAAGATCTCATACTTGCACAAGACTTGACGATCTATCAGGGAAACCTGACTTAACATAAGTTAAAATACGAGTTACCCATACTTTCTTGAAATTCCCTGGTGAAAAGGGTATATTTCATTGCCGATTTATAAAAATTGAAGGCCACCAGCACAGCGATCAGCATGAGGCAAACCAAGCACAAGCAACAATCAGCTAAAACCTATAGATATCATCACAAAGAGAACTGGACCACACCAGACCCAACAACCACAAGCACCACACCGCAGCAAGAAAAGGAATATCAGGTGTGACTACACACCACAAATAAAAGGAAATCAAATAAGACAGCCAAGGAACCTTCCTTCATATAGCAGGCCTCCGGGCGACTGAAAAAGGATCAAATTTGGCATTTTTGTTGGACGAATTGGAATTGGAATTGGAAAAATTGACAGAGAATACTTTCAGTCTGTCTTCTGGCTTCAGGAGTTACTTCAAAAATGACTCCAAGATCCAAACAGTCCCTGAACCAGAAGCAGGAAAGATTCCTTCCGCCAAAACAGGCGGTAGTGGCTTCACCACTAATGAATATCCCTTACCTGTGAGTGAAATAACAATATAACTCACCCCCAATAGATTTAGGATTGAATAAGATTCAGATACATATATCATGACCCATACTTATGAACTAAGAACCATTTGTTTATTTATTTATGCTACAATAGTCCAGATTCAAATTCAGTTCATTTGCATAATAAGGTACAGGTTATGACTAAACGAATAGCATAGGGGTGTTTTGCTGGCTTCTTGACAGTTATTGCAATTGGTGCTGTGGGTGTAGTTGTTAATGTAGTTGGTGCTGTTGTTTTAGTTGTTATTGTAGTCAGTGCTGTTGTTATAGTTGTTATTGCAGTTGGTGCTGTTGTTATTGTAGTTGGTGCTGTTGTTATAGTTGTTGTAGTTGGTGCTGTTGTTATAGTTGTTATTATAGTTGGTGCTGTTGTTGTAGTTTCTATTGTATTTGCTGCTGGGGTTGTAGTTGTTATTATAGCTGGTATTGATGTTGTAGTAGTTTTTGTAATCTGTGCAGTTATTGTAGTTGTTTTTGTAGTTGGTGCTGTTATTATAGTTATTATTGTAGTTGGTGCTGTGGTTATAGTTATTATTGTAGTTGGTGCTGTGGTTATAGTTAATATTGTAGTTGGTGCTGTGGTTATAGTTCTTATTGTAGTTGGTTCTGTGGTTGTAATTGTTATCATAGTCAGTGATGTTGTTATTGTAGTTGATGCTGTGGTTGTAGTTGTTATTGTAGTTGGTGCTGTGATTGTAGTTGTTATTGTAGTTGATGCTGTGGTTATAGTTATTATTGTTGTTGGTGCTGTGGTTATAGTTATTATTGTAGTTGGTGCTGTGGTTATAGTTGTTG